TGTTGCAGATGTTTTAAGACTATAAAGAGCATCATAAATCTTTAGTCAAAAAATATTTGCTTATCCCCTCCAAAAACTTGATGACGTCAGCTCAAAAGTTTGTGGAATAAATCATATCTAAAATGTACAAAATATGATGAGTCTGTACTTGTGATCTATCACTCCATTCATATTTTTTGGATTTGCATATACAGGGTGACTCAAAAAAATTAATGAATGCGTAAATATATTTTATTGATTTAATCAGGAACTACAAAACCGAATGTTCTGAAATCTTGCAGATGTTTTAAGGTCATACAGAGCATAATAAATGTTTAGTCAAAATATATTTGCTTATCCCCTCCAAAAACTTGATGACGTCAGCTCGAAAGTTTGCCGAATAAATCATATCTAAAATGTACAAAATATGATGAGCCTGTACTTGTCATTTATCACTCCATTCATATTTTTTGGATTTGCATATACAGAGTGACCCAAAAAAATTAATGAATGCGTAAATATATTTTATTGATTTAATCAGGAACTACAAAACGGAATGCTCTGACATCTTGCACATGTTTTAAGGTTATAAAGAGCATAATAAATGTTTAGTCAAAATATATTTGCTTATCCCCTCCAAAAACTTGATGACGTCAGCTCGAAAATTTGCCGAATAAATCATATCTAAAATGTACAAAATATGATCAGTCTGTACTTGTGATCTATCACCCCATTCATATTTTTTGGATTTGCATATACAGGGTGATTCAAGAAAATAAATGAAAGCGTAAATTTATTTTACTGATTTACTCAGGAACTACAAAACCGAATGCTTCGAAATCTTGAAGATATTTTAAAATTATCATAAGCATGGTAAATTTTTGATCAAAACGTATTTGGTCGTCCCGCCTAAAAAATTTATGACGTCACCACAAAATTATGCTGAATAAATGCTATCTAAAATGTACAAAATATGGTGAGTCTCTTCTTGTGATTTACCATTCCATTCAATTTTTTTCGATTTGCATATACAGGGTGACTCAAAAAAATTAATGAATGCGTAAATTTATTTTATTGATTTAATCAGGAACTACAAAACCGAATGCTTTGAAATCTTGCAGATGTTTTAAGGTTATAAAGAGCATAATAAATTTTTAGTCAAAATATATTTGGTTATCTTCTACAAAAAACTGATGACGTCAGCTCAAAAGTTTGCCGAATAAATCGTATCTAAAATGTACAAAATATGATGAGTCTGTACTTGTGATTTATCATTCCATTCATATTTTTGGATTTGCGTATGCAGGGTGACTCACAAAAATTAATGAAGGCGTGAATTTATTTTATCGATTTAATCAGGAATTACAAAACCGAATGCTTTGAAATCTTGGGAATATTTTAAAGTTATTATAAGCATGGTAAACTTTTGTTCAAAATGTATTTTTTCATCCCTCCTAAAAAAATTGATGACGTCACCCTTAAATTTTGCTGAATAAATCCTATCTAAAATGCAAAAAATATGATGAGTTTGTACTTGTGATTTATCATTCCATTCATATTTTCTAGATTTTCTTAAGAGGTGGTTCAAAAAAATTAATGAAGTCAATTTATTTTATTGATTAAATTAAAGGCAACACTTATTATTAGTATTACACCCCAACCAACCCAATTTGGTTGACACAAAATTTGTTAAAAGAAAAACTCGGTTGAAACATAAGGGTAGCACGCTTATTTACATCGACTTTAACATTACAGACCTGCATTTGTTTTATGCGTTCACTTGGTTCCGCGAATGTGAAATAGACATGTTTATAATCAACCAATTGTGAATTTCACCGTCAAGAATTAAAATAAAACCCAATGTTTTATATAATAAGCGGAAGTCGAAGCAATAAAACCGATGGTCGTTTTGTTTACAGTTTCTCTGTTTGACTCTCACGCATGCTGTTACGCCTGTCATCTTAAATTAAGAATGTTTATACATACACGATTTTTAGTTGCCTCTCATACGTATACGTGAGTAAATTGTTTCGTTATTTTATTGATTATTACAAATCAATATTCAAAACGACCCAATTCATTTTCCCGAAAATTTGAGAATATAATAATTTTATTCTTAGTATTACACTACATCTATCCCAACTGATATACGTGTCCTTGCAAAAATGTTGATGACGTCATCGCAATTTTTTTTTTAAATTCCCACTACAAAAATGTAATGAGAAAAAAAACACAATAGGCATGCAGTCGTCAAGTTTCCGACAGCGAGGGAAGTACTGTCTAAACTCTTTAGACCAATTTTTATTTTTAATATTACACTTCACGAATCCAAGTTGACATATCTGTCCTTGCAAAAATGTTGATGACGTCATCACAAAATTTTGTAAAGGAAAAACTCAACTCGAAAAAGGGAAGTTCTGTCGAAACAACTTTCGACCAATTTTTTTAATCAGTGTTACAATAATTTGTGGAGAGATAAACAAGGTATGCGGTTTATTATGGTCTACATTAAATTGAGTCTTAATATACAGAGTGTTTAGAAAAAATCTAAATTATTACAATTCTTAGATATTGATATTTCAATTTTTTCAAATAGAACGCTATGTATTTCATTATTGCATCCCACTCTGTTTTTTCATCGTCTTTGTTTTTGGTAAATTATTGTTATATCTAAAATTGATACTTTCTGCGAATGTTCACTTCTTTTAAAATACATATCGAAAGAAAGAAAAGAAAAAGTAGAGCACGATATATGAATAAAACATAGGGTGTTCCATTTGAAAAAAACTGAAATACTATATACTATACTATAATTGAAAATTATAATGTTTACAACACTCTGTATATTAAAACTTTATTAATTGATACGACAAAAAGCGCATAGACCTGTTTATTTCTCAATGAAATATTGTTACACATTTTTTTATAAACTTTTGAAAATAATTTTAATGTATGCTATTCAAAGAATCGGGTATCTTTTTTCTTTAACATTTACATTTACCTCTAAATATTAATTAATGAGGTATGTAGGATTGCACGCTTAGCGACTCACCCTATATATACTTTTAATGCGCTGTGTAATTGTCTACATCTTTTTGCAATTTAAAATTTTCTGTGTACAAGAAGAATTAACTATTTTGGAAAATATCTTTTTTGTCGTTTGTTCACGAACAGAATAATATATGACCTAGGTGAGAGCCTAGAAGAAAACCTGAATTCGTCAACTGATGTGAACGAACACTAATACAAATACAGTTAACAACTATCATAGTAGACTTCATGACTTCTAGAGAAAATAGCTCTGTGTCCATATTAATTAAACAGATAACCTCTGAAACTACTTTCATGACCCCTAGAGTACGAAGACCTAGATCTACCGTTTCCGTCTGTCTGTCTGTCCATCTGTCCGTCTGTCTGTTGGTCAGTCTGTCTGTCTGCAGTCCCGGATAAACTTATTCAAATCAAACAAATGTCTACGTGACGTTCTTCCAATGTATAAATATTAACATTTTTAGTGCTGCGCATATTGCTCAGATAGATTTATTCCCGTTGATAATGTGTTGTAAATATATTTTTAATTTAGTCAGTTGAAATAATTATTAATATTAATAATATTATTATTCCAGTATTGTGCAGATTTCGTCAAATTTTAATAAAAAAATTAAAAATTTTGAAAAATGTGTATACAATCGGAATAAATGGAGTTTCTAATTGTATTTAGAAGAATAGTGCTTACACACAATAAAAAAATACGATCAAAAGCAGCCATGGATTTTTGAAAATTTGGCTTTGATAGAATTTTCGTCAATTTGAAAGTTCGAGTTGAAAAAGCAATTATCAAAAATAAATTTTCAAAAATCCGTGGCTGCCTTGATCGTGTTTTTATTGCTCTGTTGGTGCATATATACATATACTCCTATTAAATTTAACATTAATTAGGAGACCCTAAGTAAAGTTTTTTTTTATTGACCGACCATTTGCTCTGCATTCATGAAACTCTTTATACTAAATTTGGAAATTAATTTTAGCTCCTACATGAGGTTGACTTTTTTGTAAACCAACATTTTAATTAACAGCATACAATAATCAAGCATGAATTGAACCTTTGAAAACTAAACTACAAGTTCACCGGCTCCATTCGGGTTTCAGTTTTAGACCTTTACATCATGCATATTAATTAAAATTTTCATTATGAGCTATTTCGTCGTAAACACAGTCTATTTTTTGTACCTAAAACAACATTCAAGCTTAAATATTTAAATAACTTTCAATTTCCCGTGAAAGTGAGTACTTTAAACTTTTGAAATTTTATGAGCTTTCCCTAAAAACCCGTACACCACAGCGAAAATAAAAACGAGATGTCCCTCGTTTTCAATTCAAAAAGAAAAATATCGCGTCGATTGAGATTTAATTTTGTGTATAATAATTTCGTGAGTCTCTCACTTATAAATTCTGTAAAGTTATTTGAATAAATTTTATTGCGAATTTAAAATATACAGTATTACTGGGACGTGTAGTGACACGTAAGAATTTAAACAATTTAACTTCGTAATTGAATATTTCGTACATAATGTAAAATTAGATTTAGGAAAGCACCGCAGTGTGAAATTAACAAGAGCAAAAATGGTGGATGCGCCGGGAACTTCGGGCTCTGGATTAGTTTTAACATGGATGCACTACTGCAAGAAGTTTTTCTTTTGTGTTACGTTTTACGATTTGATGTACTCCGCTAAACAAACTACATTTTCATAATAAACCCCTCAACTCTCGGCATTAACCACGACATAATCCATCTTCCACACACAACAAACATTTTCTTAAAACTTTGTCAAGCAACTGCTTCGAAACTTCAACCTGAGATTGTTAAACGTGTTAAAGAAACCATTAAGAACTTTTAATTAAAATAGATCCCTTTTAACAAATTTATGTTGTTGAGAGTTAGTTCGTGGATAAATGAAAACGTAATTATCATTACTTACTCTTTCAAATTTAGATTAAACTTTATGAAGTTGGAAACTTACCTCTAATGTAAGAAACGTTACTAAAATGAAGTAGGAGATGATGATTAAATACACTTCGTTCATGGCAGGTTTTGAGAGGACCGCCAGGAGAACTGCAAAATAAAAAATTTATTTAAGAGCTGACAAGCAAGTGTAAAGTCTGTACTTTATAAGAAATATTCTCGAATGAGCTTAAATGCGAGCTAATTAATAATAATGCTGATGTATATGTATGCCTGAAAGCAAAGTTAATTAACAATAATAGTTCGAAGAATTGTTTGCTGTAATTTAAATTTGCACTGAAACCCGTTAACTTTGACATGTGGTGCTCGAAGTCATACGCATGCATTAGTCGTAATTCAGCTCCATTAGCATCTTACCTCCATAAATTGCTATGCAGCAGCCAGAGGTCCCAATGAGTACGAGTAATTTCTCTAATCGCTTTGAGTGCTCTTGAGGAAGATCTGTTTCTGAGTGGTGTACCATTACAAGATCCGTTGCGGCAAATAGTAGGAAACCGACACACAACAAGAGTAGTAGAGATATCAAATTCGTCATATTGCTTTGGTTCATCTTTAGGAAATATCTCTGGTAAAGCATTTCGACCTGAAAAAAAAAACACCAAAATTATTTTTTAAAGTCGTGTCAGGGAGAAGTTTTAAATATTTATTGGAAAAGTTTGTAAACGAAAGATTAACTTATGAAAAGGAAAACTGAATGACGAATTTAATACAAAGTGAAGTCTCAAGAGACATTTTCGAGTTGCACTAGTTAGACTACGAAGTTTTGAATGAAATCAGGCAGCTCAGACGGGTTTTATAAAGAAAGGAGTTATAAATTAGTGATGAAGCGAGCTTTTCTTCAGTGGAGCGCATTTGGTGTTCGTATTATATGTTCCGTCGTTTAATTGTTTTTGTTCAAAAACTGCGTTCAGGGAGAAGTAGAAACAAAGTTAATAACGCCATTTGTAACGGATTACCTTAAACACGGCTCGTTGCAGTTATTTTAACGATAAGGAAACAATAAAAGACGCAGTGCACGTAAATGTTTTATTACGTTATAGAACGAATGATAAGTGATGAAAAAATTAATGAAGTGTAACAAACTGTAGTCAGAAGAACTGAATTTTTTCATCAGAGTCATGTAATTTTTGAGATTGAAGACAAATCAAGTAACAAAATGTCAAAAACAATTCGTAGGCATTATTGTTTTTGAGATTGCAATTATATTACGTATTTACCAACTGAACTGTTCAATATTAGTTAAAATTGTATACATACAGGGTTGCTAAAAAATATGAAAACGGTTGAATATGTCGTGAATGGTTAGTTGAATTTTCTTGAAATTTGGGCTATACTTAGTTCTGTTGTCTGTAATTTTTTAAACTTTAAACTTCATTTGTTTTAAAGCTGTAAGGCTAATTTATTTTTATTGATAGCATCACTAGTCAAATTGTCAATTTTTGAATAGAAGAATTTTTTTCTGAAACTGTAAGACATTTTTTTATTATTTTATTTAGATAGAACTTAGCTTACGTTTGAAGCCCAATCAAGCAAATCTTTTTTTATTTTTACTTCCCGAGCGTAAGCTAAGGAAGTATAGTAATCGGACGAATGCCCTCTTTTATATTTTTTCGACGTTTCATGACCCCTACAGCACGAAAAAAGTAGCCTCCCGTTTCCTTCTGTCTGTCTGTCTGTCTGTCTGTCTGTCTGTTTGTATGTCTGTCTGTATCCATGTATTAGATACGTAATCTCCAAAACTGCTGGACTGATTGTTGTATGTATCCTAGAAATGTCATGTAGATGGTTAAATGCTAACTAAAATTTTACAAATCATCCCCACCAACAATTTGATGACGTTATTTCAAAGAACCCTATGTTTATTTAATTTAACTGTTACACAACAATATACTCCTATACGTGTGATGTACGAATCCGTTTTTCAGTTTTTTCCCTAACCGTCAAATTTTAGCAAAAACATAATACATGGTATAATAATAGTTCGACGCCAACCTTGATCTTTGGTTTTTTTCTTTTTTTTCTCTTTTTCTCTCGCATGGTGTATTATCTATTTTTGTGATGTCATTACAAATTTTTTATTCGTCAAATTAAGGATACGTCACTCCATGTTCTTGAAAATGTGAGAATACGCACGTCTTTCAAGTGGGATTTATAAACTTGCTGTTGGCGTTGAAGTTTCCGTTGCAGTTGCTGTTCCCGCTGACGTTGCTTTTAGAGCTGAAAATTGTCATTTATAAACTCCGTTGCCGAGTTGCCATTTGTAGTAACTTTGATGTTCAACTTTTGCTGTATTTGAAGAGGTTGTAGAAGAAAAGTGGAGGATTTAAGTTGATTACTACAAACATTTACTATAGACATGTTTTAAGTTCCTTGTTCTCAAAATCAGTCTACACATATTAAGAAAAAAAGGCAAGCTATAAGCCCCGCCCACCCTCCCTATTTCACTTATGATGATTTTTTATTTGTCGTGAGCCAAGGGGGCGGAGCTTAATTGCAAGGCCCGACCCAGACCCGCCCGGATCTGAATTCTCAATTATGATGATTGATGAGTTTTTCATTCGTTGTCAGATCGAGGAGCGGGGCTTAATTTCAAGATACATATCTGTCTACAAGAATTTACCATTTTAAACATGTTTTAAGTTTTTTGTTCTGAAAAGACGACTACGTATATTAAGAAAAAAGGCAAACTATAAGCCCCGCCCACCCTCCCTATCTCAATTGTGATCATTTTTTTTAAACGTCAAGTGCCAAAGGGGCGGAATTTAATTGCAAAATCCTTATTTCTCTACAAGAAATTACCATGTAAGACCCATATCTGCACTGATCTAAATAGTAATGGAGGTTTCAATCGTTGGCAATGGGGCGGCGCCTAATTGTAGAAACCATATTTCCTTACATAAATTTAACATTGTAAACGTAATGTAAGTTTTTAATAATAAAAAATATCATCACAATTGAGATGGGGTGGGTGGGCGGGGTTTATATTTTTCCTTTTTTTCCTAGAATGCATACCATTCTTTGAACAACACGGTACTCAAAAACATGTTTTTAATTTCACGTAAAGTATTTTGCAGTTAAGCTTCGCCCCCTTGGTTCACGGCGAATAAAAAAATCATCACAATTGCGATAGGGCGGGTGGGCGGGCTTACATTTTGCTTTTTTCTTTTAATATGTGCAGATTTCTTTTCACAACATGAAAGTTACAACATGTTTAAAACGGAAAATTTGTATAAGGAAATATCGATTTTGCAATTAGCTCCAAACCATAATTGCAAAATCCCTATTTCGTTGCAAAAATGTACCATTTTAACCATGTTTTCAGTTTCGTGTTGTGAAAAGATGGCTATGTATATCAAGAGAAAAAAAGGGTAAAATATAAGCCCCGTCCACCCGCCCTATCTCAATTCTGATGACTTTTTTATTCGTCGTAAACAGAGAGGCGTAGTTTAATACTAAAATCCTTATTAATCTACGAGAAACTACAATTTGAAATATGTTCGTAAGTAATCGTGTTACACAAAGAAAACTAAATGTGTTAATTAAAAAAGAAAACCAAAAGAGAAGCCCCACCCATCCGTCTTGACCGTAATCGTGATGAATTTTTTATTCGTTGTCAGACCGAGAGGCGGAGCCTAATTGCAAAATCCATATTTCCTTACAAAAATTTACCATTGTAAACGTGTTTTAACTTTCTAAGGTTAAAAAAAATCATCACAATTAAGACGGGGTGGGTGGGCGGGGTCAATATTTTGCGTTTTTTTTTAATACATAGTATTCTTACACGATCATGGAAAATAAAAAAATCATCACAATTGAGATAGAGCGTGTGGGGGGGCTTAAATTTTGCCTTTTTGTTTTAGTATGTGTAGACTTTTTTTTCTATTCATAACATGAAACTTAAAATATGCTTAAAATGAAAAAGTTGTATAAGGAAACATCGATTTTTTAGTTAAACTCCATGTACCATTCTAACAGTGTTTTAAGTTTCTTGTTGGGAAAATATGGCTATGTATATTAAAAAAAAGGCAAAATATAAGCCCCGCCCACCCGACCTATCCCAATTCTGGTGATTTTTTATTCATCTTGAGCCAAGGGAGTGGAGCTTAATGCAAAATCCTTATTTCTCCACAATATTTTTGAGTATCGTGTTGTTCAAAGAATACTACGTATATTAAGAAAAAAAAACAAGCCAAAAATTAAGCCCCGCCCATATCCATCCCAAGCTCAATTGTGATGAATTTTTCATTCGTTGTCAGACCAAGGGGCGGTGCCTAATTGCAAAATCGATACTTTCCTACAAAAATTTACCATTTTAAACACTATTTACCTTTCTTGTTGTGATGACTACACTACACATATTGAGAAAAAAAGGCAGAACGTAAGCTTTTGTATATTTTTTATAATATCCAATGTGTTTTTGAGACAAATATCAATAAATCTTGTTGATTTAAACATCGAGAACTATTTGTAACAATAGATAAGTACTGACAGAAACCTACAGTATAGAAAATGATGGCAGCTATTTAAAACATGAGGGTTTCGGTGAACAGGTGATTTAATGGCTTAATATTAGTGGACCTCATTATCTCTATCAAAATTTGATTTTCATGGAATTAGTGCTGTCAACCAGAAAAATATCCCCCCTACTTCAGAGGATTTTCGTTCAAGTTGATTGAAAATTTGATTTGTTGAAAACGTCAACGGCAACGAAAGTTAAAAGTTGGTCATCTCAAACATCACCTCAACGGCGTACCAACTTTCAACGGCAATGGCAACGTCAACGACAAACAACAACTTCAGCGACACGTTTATAAATCGACCTTTATAGTATTCAAACATTTTTGTTCGATTGTGGTTTAATTAATAATTTTAGTACCCTATTTTGAAAAGACAAACTCATTCAAATCAAACTAATTTCAGTGTGACATTCTTTCGATGTATAAACATAAAGACTTAAGCTTCAAATTGCTACTATCTAGTGCTGAAGGAAATTTTATTCTGTTAGTTAAGTGCTTTAAATATATTGTACATTGTGAGCGCGGCGCAGCGGCTGCGGGGGTGTTATTTATGCCTCTGGTTTTTACTTTAGATGGGTTATTTCAAAACGAAAATCGTAAAATCAAATTTTATCCTATATTCTTTAATGAGCTGGATTTATCGGACTTTACTTCAAAGGCGGGGGAAGTTCTGTCGAAGTAGCCTTCGACCATTTTTTTTTATAACTTTCTAGACAGGTGGTGCCGATAAAACTGCGCGGCGTTGTAAATGTGACATATACAGAGTGAGTCATTAAATGCTCCATATCTCATTAATTATTATTAGAGACAGAAAAAAATATCAAAGACGAAAGTTCTTTGAAAAATATACTCTAAAGTTATTTTTAAGTACACAGAGTGTTCTGTTTATAAGACGTAACACACAACTTAGTTTTTTAAATAAAACATCCTATATATTTTTGCATATTCTCATTGACCTCTTCCTAGGTTTTATAATTACAGTTTATTTTAAAAATTCCTATGCGATGTTGCCAAATTTTTAAAATCTGTTATAAAATTTTGTGGGGGGATAAATAAAGGTATGCCCTTTGTTGCGGTACCAATTACATCGAATTTTAATATACACAGTGTTTATAAAAGCATTCTAAAACTTTACAATTTTCAAATGTCAATATTTCTGTTATTTCAAATAGAACATCGTGTATTATATTACTTCATCTGTTTCTATTTTGTGCTTTCATTCTTTTAATATGTCGACTTTAAATATAAAAATACTAGAATGAGAACAAAAATAGAATAAGATGCAGTAATAAAGTACAGAGGTGTTCTATTTGAAAAAACTGAAATATCGATATTTAAAAAAAAAAATAATAATTTTTTTTTAGAAACACCGCATATGAAGATTAAATTTTATTTATGCCAACTCAGTTTCCGCAATAAATATTTTTCAAAATTAAAAATTTCACCCATTTTCGAGAGTCGGCAAAAAATATGGCAGTAGTGCATTTCTGATGTTAGATTAATTAATTATGTTCTTCTGTCGAGTGGGAATGGAAACTTGTAATTAAATCTAGAATGTGAAAAAAAGTGCTAATCGCAACTTTTTTTGTGTTAAAATTGGTCTCATCTTTGCGGGTACTAGCCCCGCCCACCGGACCTCCATTTTCTTGAAAGATATGTCATTTGCGCAAATCATTTTTATCCTACCAAGTACTAGCCCCGCCCACCCTCCCTCTATTTTACTGGAAGGTAAGTCATGTGCAAAAATCATTCTTATCTTAGCAAATAGTAGCCCCGCCCACCCACCCTTTATTTACTTGGAAGGTATGTCATTTGCCAAAATTAGTCTTATCTTAGCAAGTACTAGCACCGACCACCCACCTTATTTTCATTCTAACTACTGATTTTGTTTCTGTTCAGTATAAGATTATTCATTTTATTCAGTTCAAATAAAATCAATCACTGAACATGAGACAGTGTGGGCGGGCGGGGCTAAATATGATCTTCTGTCGAGTGGGAATGGAAGCTACTTAGTATTAAAATCGGTCTTATCTTAGTAAGTACTAGCCCCGCCCACCCACCCTCTATTTTTTTGGAAGATTTGTCATTTGCCAAAATCAGTCTTATCTTAGCAAGTAATAGCCCCGCACACTCCCGCACCCTTCTCATTCTAACGACTAATTTTATTTCTATTCAGTATAAGATCATTTATTTCATTCAGATCGGATAAAATCAGTCACTGAAAAGGAGACAGGGTGGGTGGGTGGGGCTAATTATGTTCTTCCTTCGAGAGATTCTATTTTTTTCAAAAACGAACACCAAAAGTTTCTTTTAAATTCTTAGACAAAGACGCCAAAGGTCCCTAAGGCTAAGGCGAGGTTAATAATTTTCTACTATCGAGTGGGAATGGAAACTAGTAATAAAATTTTGATTGTGAAAAAAGCGCTAATCGCAAATTTTTTTGTTAAAATTGCTCTTATCTTAGCAGGTACTAGCCCCGCCCACCGGCCCTCTATTTTCTTGGAAGACATGTCATTTGCGAAAATCATTTTTTAGTCAGCCCACCTGCCCTCTATTTTTCTGGAAGTTATGTCGATTGCCAAAAGCATTTTTGTCTTAGCAAGTACTAGCCCCGCCCACCCGCCCTCTATTTTCTTGGATGGTATATCATTTGCCAAAATCATTTTTATCTTAGCAAGTATTAACCCCGCCCACCCTCCTTGTATTTTACTGGAAGGTAAGTCACGTGCAAAAATCATTCTTATCTTAGCAAATAGTAGCCCCGCCCACCCACCCTTTATTTACTTGGAAGGTATGTCATTTGCCAAAATTAGTCTTATCTTAGCAAGTACTAGCATCGACCACCCACCTTGTTTTCATTATAACTACTAATTTTGTTTCTGTTCAGTATAAGATCATTCATTTTATTCAGTTGGAATAAAATTAATCACTGAAAATGAGACAGGGTGGGCGGGCGGGGCTAAATATGTTCTTCTTTCGAGAGATTCTATTTTTTTCAAAAACGAACACCAAAAGTTACACGATTCTTTTAAATTCTTAGAAAAAGACGCCAAAGGTCCCTAAGGTTTTTTTAATTATTCACGGTTAAAATTAGAACAAAAGAGTGTTTCGTATCACTACTTCAATTACTTATTAAAATCCGTTAAAATATATACACTACAATTATGCAATCAAGCTTCCCCCTTCAAACTAAAGCTAGAGGCGTTTACAGAATTTCAATTTTCCATCCGTTCTCAAGATATAAGACTGTGGATTGTACCTGTATATTGAAATATACAAAATAGGTGAATTGAGAAACACACCTACAGACACATTACTTAAGAGTTGAAGAAGTGGGAACTATAAATAGAAAAGTTCTGATTACTTAGCTATAAGGTTGAATATAACCTTAAAACAGGTTCGAAGTTTCAGAGCAATAGGTTCATTTAGTAATTTTCTAAGATAAATGGTAAAATTTTGGATTTTTTTTTCAATTAATTGGGGTGATTAAAAATATTGGTACGAATACACTAATAAATCACCTGACTTGCCAGTTGATAAACTCGAATAGTCTAGTTATAAAATTAGTGGAAAAAACTACGATTTATTGACTTCTTACTTAGACAGACAATAATAAACTGTCGAAAAATTGGGGTCCCACAGGGTTCAGTTTTACGTTCAGTATTATTCATGTATTTATTGACGACTTACTAGTAAACGTTGAACGTTATAACACCATTTTTTTTTCTTTGCCGACGATACAACAATAATTGTTTAACACATTTAAAAATTATCGTAACGTAACTTCATTGGAAGGAAGAAGATCTATTAAACACCAAGTAATACTTAACAAAAAATAAGCTTGATTTCAAAGAATTAAATAATTTTACAAAGATTGAATTTCGTAAATTAGAGTTAAAAAATTAAAATGGTTGCCAGTTCAAATTTTCAAATTCTCCACTTAGGAGGCGATCCAAGCTGAGCAGAATCAATTTTTACAATATTTCAAAGGCTAATATATTTTTTTATTTACAATCGTCCACTAAAACATAAAATTTTGTTAGGTTCTTTAATCAAGCCTTTAATTATTTTTCGCCAAATAAAAAAAAAGTATCCCTTTTAAAATACAATCTCAAAATTATAAAAACTACAACGCTGTCACTGTACTCGATTTTTTTCGAGGCTTAGATACCCGCATATTTCACGATATTCAATAAACTACCGTATAAGTTTTTATTGACGACATTTCATTTATTATTAGATACTTTATCAGATACCGTAATATGAAACGTTCGTAACGTTTTATAGATGTAACAGACACTCTTACAAAAGAAATAAAATTTCTTTCACAAATCTTCGTAACCCCAGTTTGAGAAGCTCTGAATTCAATAACTTTGCATATGTTTCCAGAATAAATAACGTTAACAAAAATAGCAGCGTAATGAAGGTTTTTGTTTCGTGGTTAATAAAAATAAAGTTCGAAACAACTACTGACAAGTTTAACAAAATTCGTTTAGCGTTATTTAGTTGGCAGTTGTGTGCCTGTCACTTCCAGTCCTACGACCGTTCTTGTAAACAAGCCAACAAAGCTGACCCTAAAAGTTTTTATTGATTAACCCTTTGAGACCATAGTTTCATTTGTTTAGGCACAAAAGAACAATTTTTTGCCCGGCGTTTAAACCGCACGCGTTTCACCCCAAATAAAATAGTAATGAGACGGCTAACAGTCGTAAAGTAGCCTTTTAATATCTAAAATCCCCAGACATTTATATTCACAATCTCGTACAATAAAGATCCTTTATGATTTGAATGGTTCATAAAAGCTGCAACTCCGAAACCGTAAAGTGCACTCGTAATTAATGCAGAAAGTTGGAAGTTTAAACTTTGTTCTAGTTTAAAAGGATTCGCCCGTCTAAAATTTTCTATAAGGATCGTTTCTTCCAATAAAAACAAAAGCCGGTCTCGAGTCACAAATATAATCTCTTCTCGATCTGAACTTATTCGTGGAAAGTGTAATTTAAAGAGCCCTTAAATGGCACTGTCAAGAAAATAAACCCCAAGTCAGCATAAAACGAGAAATAATTCGCACAACACTTAACACAAACCTCAACCAAAAGGCACTTTCTCCTAATTTTTTGCAAGAGTTAATTGTCCAAGCTGTGGAAAATACCATCTTAAAGACCATTATGCAGATCCGCCTCAACGTGAATTTAAATACTAAAGCTACGAAGATCGCATTAAAAATTGCCTTTTCATAACGTTAGGAAGTTTGTGGATTTCAAGTCTTAAGCATTAGCTTTCAAGCTAAGGATATTAGCGATATTCCTTCCACCTGAAGGCTCGTCACAACTCTTGACGCAAATGCCGTTTCCAACAAGCGCAACCATTTCAAACTTACTTGTTCATTTTGAAACTGGTGAGTACTAAATAATTTCTTGATGAGTCTTAGCAGTTTCCCGAAGAAGCCCATCGAAGCCTTGGGTGCCGAAGACACTAATAATTCGGCTTCGACCTCGTGACCTTCTAGATCGGGACTCGAGTTTGGAGCAGAGCCATTTTCTTTCGTCGGCGGCGTTCTAGACACGCTGCCAACCTACAAAAAACGAAAACAATCTCTTAGCGATGTCTGCAAATGGATTAAAAATTAGAAAGTTGTGGCAATCAGGAAAATGGATCGGGAAAGATTAATCGACATTGTAAGAAACTAATATTTTTGCAGTAGTCGTTCGAGTTTATAAAGATTAAGTGGGAAAGAACTTAGACATTCATGACACAAAAGTTTCTACGTTTACAAAGAGGTTGGTTAGAGTTTGAACAAAACGTTTTCATTATAGCAAAGTGGTCAGTTTAATTTGGATTGAATGTTTACTTTAAGTAACAAGAGAGAAAAACTCGTCTAGCCAAACTTTCTTGTGGAAAAAGGACTTTGTACGAAGGTAGTTATTGGACTGTATTATGAGCAAACGCTATTCCATACGGATGAATGCTGATAATTAGTAACATGGCACAAAGTAAATAACAGTCTGTTCAAATTTGTTAGTCAACATCAACATCACTCGAAACAAACTGTTTCACAGTTACACCAAAACTGAGCAAATTATTTTATATCGTTCCATTTAACCTTTGTCAAAACTAGCATCTTCTTAACTCAAATAACTCAAAGATCTTCACACAAAAAATCGATCAGAGTTTCATAAACTCTTAGACAGTCATGTCGTGAAAACGAATAAGAGGGAACTTTTTCTTTTGTAGAATGATGAAATTTGTAATATTGCCGGCAGAAATGCACATTGAATTAATTAGAATCACATTGTATAAAATCTGATTTATATTTAGTAGTTTTATTAGACCATCTGGTGACGTTCATATTTTCAAAGATGCGATTACAAAATTGTGCCATACAATATATTATAAAAAAAGTATATTGTAATAGAAGGTAATTTGAGTTTACATTTTGATGCCAATGACCAAAAAGTGCAAAAGTACATCTTCGAGTGATTTTTGTACTAGAAATATATCTTATATAGATAATATTTTTTTAAATATTGTGCCCAAAATTGTTGTAAATCCTACAGAACTTTATTTGTCGTATCATTCGAGTGTTATAGTTAGTTTAGAATTGTATAGTGAAATTTTAACATCGAATTACGTAAAAGGAATTGTAATATGTACCAATTAACAATTTTCTAAATTTAGTTTTTATCAAGTATTGAGTAAAGTCAAGGGGAATTTCATTGATTCAGATACAGTGAAACCTCTTGTAACGAACACGAACAATTTTCACTGTCCCAACGTATAAAATAGGTCATGTAATGTAAAGAATCCTCCAAACAACGGAGACTGCCAACAACGGACACGGAGAGTAAAATTGCCGCATTTTTAGTTATTTTCTTTGTAAAAAATACCTCTTCACAACGGACGGGTAAAGTGGTCCCGAGATTGGACCGTACAATAAAATTTAAAGATTAGGCCAACAGATTCTCGCTACTAGGTCATAACTCTCTTCGGACTCCCATAGGTGTCTCTGTACTTCACTTTTTTAATTTATGTTTTCTACTAAAAAGCTGTATTGTAAAAGTAATTCTATAACCCTTAGGAAGAACCAGTGGTTTACTCCTCAATTAGACAAAATGCAAGAATCTTGCGATCTTCTAAAGGACACTTACAAACTCTACAGGACTCCAAAGTTAAAAAAAGATGCTTAATGAAAATAAAAAGCGTTAAAATAGAGCAATAAAAAGTACTAAAATTATACCAATCAGCTCATAAGAGAAAATAAAGTTATATCCAAAATTTTATGGAAGGTTATAAATAGCCAAAAACCGAAAAATATGAAGGACAAGCACCACAATGTATATCCTGATGAATTAATGCTTTTTTTCGTCAATAGTTTCAAATAAGTATTATACCTAAATTACCTACATGAAAATTCAGTCCTATTGCTGCATTATCCAGTTCTATAAATCTCTCTAAAATATACTTTTTTAATGGTTAGATATGCGTTTAATACATTAAATAATGGAAATTCAAAGGACAATTATGGACTCTCAACAGAAATTGTGAAAGTTGTAAAAGATGTCTTAAATATTTCATTCACAAAATTCTTTAATCAGATGCTCAAGTCTTTCCAGATTGTTTGAAAAAGGCAGTAATTATTCCGGTTTACAAAAAAAGGTAATCAAAACAATACATATAATTATCGTCCAATAGCATTCTTACCCATTTTTTCTAAAATCTTTGAAAGATTACTGTTGTGGCAAATCCTAAAATTCTTGAATGAAAACAATATATTATCATACAAACTGTTCGGATTTAGAAAAAATAGCTACACGACAATTGCGGTTTAAATTTTTTTTTTTTAATGCAGGGTTTTTATAAATGATTCTAAGGGCTTGGTTGGCCATGGATTTCAAAAATCCCGCCTAATTGAAATTATGCCTCATTATGAGTGACAGTTCTCACTTGTCATTAATGTCATTTCTAACCTAACCTGTCGTTTAAAGTAATTATTTTTAACGTCGTTGATCCAAGCTCAAAACTCGTTTTCAAAACTCTTGGTGTCGTACAAAAATTTGGATTTTGTGCTAGGAAGCGAAAACAGTGAAATGGTTTATTCAGTTGAACAAGACACCTTCATTGTCATGTCTTATTATCGCAATGAGACATTCGTAAACAGAGAGTGGGTGTATTCTGTAACCGCTTGTCAGCAAGAATATCTGTACAAATACCGTGATTTAATAATCCAAAATTCAAGAAACATCGTTAGAGGCATTAGAGATGTAATCAACAGATTTGTTCGAACTGGCAGTGTCGACAAAGAAAAATCGCCTGGAAAACCTTCAGTATTTGAGGACGTTGTTGATGATTTGACAAAACATCTTGGACAGGACTGTCTCAGTGGGCTCAAAGCATCGACAAAATGATGTTAGAGAACACTTTTGAAATTAAAATGAGAGTGAATGTCCTTTAAACAAAATGGTGAACATTTTCAACATTTACTGTGACGTTTCACACAATAAATTGCTTTATTTTTATTGCAAGGAATTAGTTTTAGTTTTTAATAAGATATGAAACATTTAGGGAACCAGTTAAACAGATGCGTGTGGTATTTGTTGTGAGTCCTTGGGCATTTAGTGAAGTAAAGTAAAGTAAAGTAAAGTGAGAGGCGGCCCGTTTCCATGACCCACTTCGACCCTATAATCATTTTATAGAAACCCTCCATTTTGAGATTAAACAACAATTATCGTCGAAACTAAGACAACAAACATTATTTATGACATTTATTCAATAATAGTACCCTTACTTGTCAGATTTAGTGGACGAGTATTTTTAATTGCAGTAAGTAGTTCCAGTAATATTGTTTTGCCAACAGGTTAATAACCAAAATAACAAAATTTATCATTTTCATTATGGTACAGATCGTCGTCTTCGTTGATTCACTATTAAAGTCCCTCCAATTGGTTACAATCGTCCGACTTGTCAAAAGGGAAAATATCAAAAGATGTCACCCCCTTCAGGAGTTACAGGAACCTGTAATTAATCCGTTTTGTCGCGCGCCAAAACAGTTTGTGCTTGAATTGATATTATCAAAATGTCCAAAAAATATTGCTCTGTGCCTGCTTGTGGGGTAATCAAGGATCCTAGAGACCACAAAATAATGCAGATTCCCTTCAAACACTGTGAACAAAAGGTTGTGGTGCAAAAAGGTTTTTAATGCTACAAGTAGGTACCCCAACATGAATCTTTTACCTAAGGGAATGTATAGCCATTAAAACCATTTCAGGTGATAATATTGCCAATAATTTATACATTTGTGGTAAACACTTTGAGAGAAGTTGTTATTACACAAATAAAAGACTTAAACCCGGCTCTGTTCCTACTTTGTTCCTCCATGGTTCCAAGTCACCGCTACCTGTTCCTACTTCTTCAAGCTCCCCAGCAAGTACTAAACGTGATCCAGAATGCAGCTTCATAATTCCTGAGACACATTCCGATAACAATGTAAACACCTCAAAGAAAAACTTTCCTACTGCATATCCCTTTGCAGACCATCCACACCCATGGCGTTGTGACTTTGGCACCGGTACCGAAATTTTGTCTCTTTTTCAAGTAAAAACTGAAATACATGACGTCAAATTGTGTCAAAAAGTCAGACCACGACAGACATTTAGCCGACATTACAGATTCCTTTCCCTCCCGACGTATGCTCCCTCACATGTCACATTTAAGGGATTGGAGAGACTTTAATAGTGAATCAACGAAGACGACGGTACAGATATTTGTAAAATGGATGATGACAGTGAAAACGATAAAAATTTGATGGAAAGTTGCAGACTTCCCGAAATACCAGAAATAGCCAAGTCTGTTACATTAAATGTACTTGATGAGAAATCACAAAAAAAGCTATGAAATAGCTTATAAATCCTTTATGGAGTGAAGGGTTAGAAAAGCTACAAATTCATTTTTACAATATAATCTATTAGTGTTCTTTACTAAACTAGCTGTAAAGTATAAATCATCATTAATCAAACTTATGGACGATCTATCCTATGTTAAAAGCAACACTAAATATTCACCATAACATTAACATCGAAAATTATCTCAAATTAGTGTCTTCCCTGAAACGAAAGTCTGAAGGTTACAAAGCTAAAAAAGCTCGAGTTCTTACTCCGAATGAAGTTCGTGAACTCATTGATAAAGCACCAGATAATAAATATCTTGCAACTACCAAGATAAGAAACTTATAAGTTATAAGTTATATAAGTATAAAACAATACTTAATGTTTTTATATGTTGCCTACATTAAGTATAATGGTTTGTTGTCGGGCCATTGAATTACCTTATATCATCTTATATAAAATGAAAGTACAAAATGTCCATGATCATAAAGCTGCGTTTCTTGCCGATATTAACATCGAAAATTATCTCAAATTAGTGTCTCCCCTGAAACGAAAGTCTGAAGGTTACAAAGTTAAAAAAGCTGCAATTTTTACTCCGAATGAAGTTTGTGAATTCATTGATAAAGCACCAGATAGATAAATATCTTACAAGTAGGACAAGAAACTTATAAGTGATTATGAACATAACAATGCT